ATCGAAATTTCGAAAAGGAACTTTTACCCTGTTCATCATTTTCTACTTGACATTTTCAAGCTTGGCTACTTGATAGAAGTATTTCGGTAATCAACTCTACATGGAATAGATCCACGGGTGAGATGGATGGCCGCGAGATGAGATGTTATTGTCGTACAACGTGCCTAGGTCGTAGTTGCCCCTGCTAGGCCCATCGATTCAATTGCGGCGAAGCTATTTAGTGGATCAAATAGGGCCACGACTAATATAAAAATAGTGACAAATTGGAAGCTTTTCTGTCTCTATAAGCCTTTTGAAAGCCAATGACAAGTTGAGGGATCCCTTCTAACTCCCTAGAGCTCTACCCTGTAAACTCTCTTTTCTTCCCTGAGCTTCCCTTGTTTAGAAGCTATTTAGAAGCCACGGGTACAAGAGAATCCACTGTCCGGAATCCCCCAGAACCTTGAAATAATATACTTCTTCTCCGCTTTCGTAGAATAATCGAATGAGATGCATAGGAATTTTAGAGTAGAAAGATAGTAGAACGAAAATCGAATGGATTGATGATGATTGAGGGGCAGTCGTTTCATACTTTATTTCGTTTCCAATTAGGGCTCAGGAATAATTACTTTTTGTTTGGGTCGATGAAGGGGTATTCTCGGTTGAGCAAACGATGTTTAATTTTGTTCTCAGCATAACACAAACAAGTACAACACAAATCAATAGCGTTACTCTTCACTATTGCGACTACACGTATGGACATTATTTTCATTTAATCATATTCAATCTTCTACTGCATCTTATATATTATACACCTTCATCATATTCCACATCACAACTCGTGGTAAATTAAAGAAGTGTAGGTACCTAGTGTATGTAGGTACTTACACGCAAATGCCCATGTAATTCTGTACAAAGAGATCCAAAAGTGCGGTACCGTTCATTCATGCCCAAATGAAATATTCCGAAGAAATTATCATCTGCCCTTTGGCAACTTGCATCTCGCATACAATGCTTGCATAAATGAACGTCACTAGACTTTGTACATACGGTATGAAAGCACCCTTCATTAATATCCATGCTTGGTCAATTGTGAAACTTATTCCCTTCCTTTGCTCGGCACTTGAGAAGATCATTCATTTATCTGAGAGACTACTTTGCTACCTTGTTAATAACTCATCCCTGGCTATCAATTCCCATTTTTCGATATAGCATCTCGGGTCTATCGATTACTATCTAAGTCCGACGATCTCATCATCTGGATCCGATTTTAGCTTCTGGTGAGCTCATCGGAATCGTCAATCTGAACTCCATTTACTATTCTCTCCCGTAGCGCTGGGTCTGCTTACTATCGGTCGTAGTATAGGTATAGACAATCCCCTCGGGATAGACGCTAATATCCAGAAAGTTTTTGCGCAATATTGTACAGCAGCTCGAGTTTTTCGACATATTCTCCTGGCAACACAAGCACAAATGATCACTTCGTCGGAGAAAAAGTTTCCGCCCTTCTTTGGTCGTTTTAATCGCTTTCGTCGGGTTCGGTCCAGAGCTGGTAAGGCCAGCGGGATGGGCGTGGGAGGCTCGACTCTTTCAGGAATTGATGGCTGTCACTTCTCATGCTGAAATGCTTGGAGCGAGAATTGGTGTTCTAAGAGGCAATATTACTGCAGAACTATCTATTCACGAAGTGGATTTTCCCGACCAAGTTTAGATGATTCTAATTGAGATTTTTGATGAGTACACTTTCCATCATCAGTGTAGTTGAAGGTGCCCTTAATGATGAATAGGCGTTGGGGTTTTAGTTGACGAATCACGGCAGCAGTGTAAAGTTGCTGCAGACAAAAGATCGACACTTGGATGTTCGGGAGTGTCATAATGTAGATGACCTGAGCGAGTGCTATGCCTAGGTAGGTGTGCATATTGTGCATGTTAAACAGGGCTAGAAGAGTAGGGTCACTAGGCACTGGACGCCACAAACGACAGGCCTATTCGGAAAGGAAATCCGAATTCTCATTTCAACGAACAAGACGTACCTCTTTTCCCTTTTTGTGCCCGGTGTAGCCAGATTGATATTCTAACTCTTTCCTTATTTAGTTAAAGAGCTGGGATAGATACTGGGGATTTTGTATCGACTGTTGCTCAACCATGGAAAGCTTTTCGCAACCTTACGAGAAAGCCGCAAGCCTCCCGTCGTGACCGTCGGAGCACAGATTAAAATCGTATTCACCGCTGCTGTGAAATCAAAGAAAGGGAGGAATAACTACACTACCCCGTATTTTAGTCCTCCTAATACTGCAGTGCTTTCTCTTCTTCGTTCCACTCACGTAGATTTACTTCTTTTGCTGTCCAAAGGAAGCAAAGAGGAATGTGTATTACAATGATCAAAGTACTTGCGACCGCCTCTTCAATCCTCGGAACTCATTATCCATATAACTAACCCGAGTTATCTCGTCTGCTATTCAATCATGTGAACTATTAATAGAAGGCATCGCAACAAATAGCTCGATCTTTGTGGTGAAATTATGAAAATACAATAACGATATATTTTCTGACATAATAATGAGAGAACTGACCAGATCATGCGGAGATTCTCCCAAAGTAACCCCGAACTAATCCTAGTCAAGTAAATTCAGGAGATGTGGATGATGCTCCCTTTGGTCGTTTAGATAACTGAATTGTACGATTGGATGAACACCCTTGATATCAGTCGTGGCTGTGCTTGTTTTGAAATAATTGACTCCTCTCCTGTGGATGAATAGATGGGATTGGGCAGCTGCTTATAGATATCAGCATTACAAGGGGAAAAGATTCCTAGGACGTGATTAGTCATGAAAAATACTTAGGTATGAAGTGGAAGAGAAATGAAAGGCTGCTTTTACATAAAAAAAAGAACCTAATCTTACCTCCTGTTCGTACTCTTGGTCGTACTGCACGTCTGAAGCGATCAACAATCTAACTAGATATTTTGTCATTTGGGACGTAAAGTTATTAATCTGTCCAGTTTCACATATTCCGTTTCAAGGGAGGTATCATCTTGCTAAAGAATATTCCCTAGTTCCTATCAAATTTCGAAACGGATAATCTACTCTGCTCTGTATAGGCACTCTATCTATTAAGTCTATCTCTAAAGTGGCAACAATTTAGGGCTTTTCACATAAGAATATCAAGATGCAGCCACCATCAAGGTACTTTAACTCATCTTTCCTTTACTTCATATCTCATTCCCTTGCTCGCCATCTTCATGCATTAAGTTGAGAAGCCTTCAAACATTCATCAATGAGTTCTGTCGTATTTTTCCAACAAAAAACGACGGATTTACAGGTACCAAGGAATAATAAGCTTTAGTTCATATGACAGCTCGTGGGTTAATTATGATCCCAAAACTGGGGACTAAGATAGATAACTTTTCACTCTTCCTTGGGGTGTGGCTTCAATAGTTTGAACTGCTAAAGAGGCCCCCAGGCAGAATCATTAAAATAACAATATTTCGAGTTTTTCCTTGCTTCATCTCAAATCAATGTCAATCATTTCATAATCACTGGGCTCGAGAATCCGTGACTCCATCGTCGTAGTACACGATATTGTCGAATCCATCCCATTGTTGTACTTCGTCCTACCTCATGCAAGGTCCCATACTCATACCTCATTACCGACTTGCCTCGAAAGCTAGATTGGCCTTTCGGGTGTGATGTGAAATAAAGTTACGATCATCTACTAGGTTTTTTTGTACTACCTACGCTTGTATTCCATTATGCCAGGGAGCAGGCCAGGGCTATAGTCGTCGCTTGCGGCACCGAATCACTGGACGAACACCACACCATACACAACAACGTTGACGAGTGGTCCAATGAATCAGATGGAGCCACGATACCAAACTAATAAAGCTCACATAACCTTCAGTCAGACCAAATATCAGTCTCTATTGCGCCACCAAACTTTTGGCTGACAGTTCTCAATTATTTTAAGCTCCTCTTTCCTCTCTATCTTTATTTCCTGTGTGATGCGTAGCCCATCCAACTAAGCGCGCCTTCTTAAGCTACTTCGATTACTACGCCACCAAGGGAAACTCCGTGCAATTTCCCATATGGCTACCTGCATGGCCTACTGCCTCGCACAAGACTTTTAATTTTTGAAAAAAGTCGGTCGGCACCATCCGGGCCTCAAAATGCCTCTGGTAAATTTGCCAAGAATTGACATATATCGATTTTCATTTTCAGCTGATCTCGCTGATTTCCATCAGCTGCTATTTTTTGATCTTCTTGTTGCATGATCTAGTTGTTGCAATAACACTTCTTTTTAATATGACTGTATTGATACTTACCAACAAAGATTATAAAACTCAGCAAGGCTTACTTTCCATCTTTGGTTCTATTTGTGTTTTTTCTTCCATGCATGGACAGGTAACAGGGCCTTACATCCTTGTACCACAGCAACATCTTACCAACCACGGTTCTGGATCCCTATTTGATCTTTTTACCCTTGGCTTGCTGCATGAAGCCGAATTTCGGTTCCTGGTCGTCGGGTTGATCACAATTTCATGTACGCGTCTGTTGGCAAAGTGTTGGCCTAGACTACTATTGTGCTGCATAACATCCAAAACAGCAAGCTGAACTAACGAACGACCTTGCATTGAAACCGATCAAAGGCTAAACTGTTTGCGAACGGAAAGAAGCAAAAGAAAGGACGCTTACCCTGTCCTGTCCGAAGACTCCACGTGGCGAGGACGTAAATGGAAATTTGATGACGATAGAATATGGATGTGTTCCCGCGCTCGCCACGTGGATTTAAAGCAATATCGAGAAATCAGCAATTCTTTCAGGCCGGACGAGATGATAACGGGAAAAGGGCGGTATACGAGAGATAATTTCGAGGGGCGGTATGGCTACACGGTATGTGATCAGCCTTTTCTTTCCTGTCCACTTGGCATGTGCATAGATGATCGATCCACGAAGCATAACCGTCTTCACGGGAAAGGAACAGGGCTTTGGATTTATAATTGATAGAGTGCCACCAATATCCCTATGGACATTACGGGTAGATTCATGTTTCCTTCCCCGTGGGGAATCGCTCGGCTTGCTGCGACTGCGACGGGAGGTAAAGATGGAATGAAGGTACCACAAAGTGTCGAGGCTCTCAGCGATGACGGCGCATGGAGAGCATCGGAGCTTATCACGTTTGCGAATTCTGTAGGTTCATTTTAGTAGGTGCTACATACTTATCAAGTCAAAAAAAACTCTACTCGACCGCGCACCTCCAAGTACGAGTCTCTTAAACAAGTGTGAGACTCAAGGGAATAAAGGCAATGCACAGGAGAGAGCGAGTCAATGATATAGTACACGTGTACCTACAATGTACTCTCTACAAGTGATATATGAAGTACATCACACTTTCATTTTTGCGCATGATGAGAAGATCCAATTCACTGCTATAAGATGGATTTCAAAGCTGAGAAGTCCAGATGTGCAACAAAAGATCTCACTCTTGACTTTACTGGCTCAATTTTTTAGGAATAATGAATTGACTTCCGTTTCCGCTATATACTTATTTATTCATGAAACGGGAACGGGAACGGAATCGGCGAGGAGATTGGGGAGGTCTTGCCATGATATTATTCCATGTTACTTCAAAACTACTCATCGTACTTCGGACTTCTTGCCTCGGTATAGACAAGTGAATTTGATAGAAACCTGGTATAGGTTAACTTAAAGTACTTCTTCGGGGTGAAGTTTCATTTCCCGTAAACGTGCTATGGCCATTCTCACCAATACCCCTCGTGTAAGATTTTGCCGCGGGCTTTCCACGGATGCTTCAAAAATTGGGTTGTCGGCTAGCGGAAAGAATAGTATTGGGTTAATGATCTTTGCCGCTCTCGTTTTGACTTTTCCACTATTTTTGAAGAGTCGGCGACGATGACTCGTCTTGAAAGGTAGGTGAAAGAAATATCACCACGTTGATAGCGAATTAAACTTCAAATTACCGGGAGATCTGACTGTCAATACATCATCTAAATTGCATGTGATGACAGAACTTATAAAATTCTTTAATTCATCAACCGCCTTTCCTCCTCATTGCCCCAATCAAATCTAACATTGCACAATTCTCACCCACAAAATGCAATACAACCTCAGCTCTCGGCACCACGGTTCCCCAATCCCACCCCCTGACCACCCACCCCCATCAGCAAAAATTTCCCGAGAAGATGCACGAACCGCACGCAACCACGGAACATAAGATGTGATAGCGGAGTGCAGGAATCGGAATCTTACTCCGTGGAATTCTTCATTTGTTTATTATTTGCCGATCACAGTCGTAGTCACTATCACATTGCATGTGCAGATATTATATGTGTGTGAGTGAAAGAACATGGTTTAGACGTGGAGTCCGGGGGCAATTTCTCCTTTGGGATAGCATCGCCGTGGGGGCTGGAATTGCGGGGATCGTGGTAGGGGCGGGGAGACGACATGTGGTGATGTACTTTTTGATATCTTGGCGGAGGGGAGCGGGATTGTGTCTTTTTATCAGCTGTTAATGCTAGCAAATATTGTTGAAAGGTGTTTGAGGTTGAGTATATATAGTTTATTCTTTATGACCCCACGAAAGGGGTGCCATTACCTACTGTTTTTGAATGCTTTTCTCACCCAATCCAACCTCAAACTCACATAGGCTTTAGAGATTTTAGTCTGGGGTCTGTGTAAACTATCAAAATCACTACGGTCCCCCTTCAGAATATGCAACTCCGTTTCATTCCCCGCGTCCATCAATCTCGTCGCAAATTTCATGACTTGGCCCCTAAACACTTCCTCCCTGCCGACATCAATCCATGTTGGTGGTAAATCATACAAATCTGGCGCACAGGCTGGTGTTACATATTTCAGATGCTGTGACCGATGATGTTCTCTCCAAAGTTTTTCTTTCTGAAGGGCTTCTGAAAGAATTCTTTTGTTGCTCGGATCAGCGTCTGCTACAAGCTGGTGGTCGGGACCATATTCTGGAATGCTGTGAATGTCCTGCACATGATAATCCCATACAGTTTTCTTCCAGACTTTAGAGGTCCAGAACTCTCCTTCGTCCTCGGAATTTTGTTTTGTTTCTATAACCAAGCGATCATCGATTACAGGACAGATTAAGCATTGTGCCATTAACTTTCCCCCTCCATGTAGTCCCATATCTACTCTATCACGGGCCATGATTGCAGTTGCGGCAGCAAGTCCTCCGCCTAGAAATTGCCCAGCTATCATTATCTTCGTAGGATCAATGCGCAAATTTTTGGCCTCTCTGAAAACATATTGAAGACCACGATAGCAATCTGTTAGTGGAGTGGGGCACCAATGCTTGTCCAGAAGGCGATAATCGATTGTCAACAGTACGAGGTCAAGTTGTTTGATCAGATCGAAGAAGCCGGATACACCGTCAAGGGGTCCATCAGCCATGAAAGGGTCACCGTGAATGAAATATATTGCCGGTCTAAGGGACAAAGATGTGGCGGTATTGAGTTGTAAGATAATAACTTTGATATTTCCATAAGTGTCTGGAATTCCCGGAAACTTTGAAACGACCACTTTCGTGACAGATATTTCTGGATGGTCATCAAGAACAGCGTCTGTAGAAGTTCTCGGTCGGGATTGCCAGTGACGAAGCATGGTGGATGTTTCTTTTGTGAACAAAGAGTTGGCGCGTGTCACAGACCTATCGTTCCGAGCTTCCTCGTGTTGAAGGGTATCTAGTAGTGTATGAGAAGGCTTCGAAAGAAGGTCTTTTGAGAAGGGATGTCTTAACATCATGATAAATACTTGCGTTGTCGCAATATTAAATTTCGATTTCAGAATATGCTGCTGTACCAATGAATTTTGAGGATATCTCAAATCTGCATCACAGCTTGAGAAGTGAAAGAATAGCAAGAATAATTCCAAAAAAAATTGAACTTTGACAAGCTCTGAGGTTGTCATGAAGTTAAGAGACCACTGGGGGGATTAAACTTGAGGTTACCTGCCCATAATTGAATTGTGTTCTTGCCTGATATTATGGTAAAATGTACCAGTACGAGCACAGAGGAGGTGCGAAACGACTAAGGTTAGACACTCGGAAACGCTCAGGTTAGTAGGGCTATTGGATCTAGAGACTTACTGAAAAAACTCAATATTGTATGGCACTGGATGCTCTGTCAAAATGAACGAAAAGTACCTACTGACAATTACGATTCTGTCTAGAAAATGTGTACATTCTAGTCACTTAGTCAATCAAAGGAGGAAGGAACGACAGTGAGCTAGTGATTACACAGTATTTCAGTTTCTTTCTCCATTCTTCATGTATAAAATCATCTGGAACGGTCAGGATGGAAGTGACTCGTTGTTTGAAATCGATTTGCCAAGTTCAGGTTTCTCAATTCACTTGAATTGAAGCTGCTGTAGCCATATCCACGTTGAAGAACGCATCTACCTAGTGTATTTCTGTCGTAAGAAGCTGGCCTCTTTGCGGAATGATGTATGATTGGGAGTTAAATTTGATAAACGAAGTGAAACATGTGCGCAAGTAAAATTTAAATCCTTTCAATTCCTAACAACCTAAGCCGGGTATAGTACTACTCTAAAAATGACTCCCCCTGATCCCGTCGCCTTCTCTAGAGGCAGCGTGTTCGATTTTGATGCGAGTTTTCATTGTTTGAAAAGCTCTTAATATTCAGACTGAATCCAGAATCTCAAGAAATATCAACTTTCCAAAGGTGTTGGACAGTTGAAGGTTCCAGCTGCCAGGTTTTATCCGGACTATTCAAACCCCTCAATCCATCTCCTAACCATTTCACAATCCCACCTATCAGATCTCTTCTCGGCTAGCATCCCCTTAATTCCCTCTGCCATCTCATGATTCTCAAATCCTGCCGGATATTTACCGGATTTGATATTATTCAATACAATGTGACGCTCGGTGCGGGTAGTAAAGGGGGTGATTAGCTCAAACGCTATGATTCCCAAGGCATAAACGTCCAATTTAGGACAGACAACAGTGGACTTTCCTGGAGGCATATAAAGCTTTGTGCCTGCTTGCTTTGACCCGAGACGAGAAAGCTGTGTTGAGGGATTAAGCTCTATAGCTCTTGTAGACGGTCCAGCAGCAGGAGTAGCCGTAGTTTCAGCAAGTTTGACTGCTAGTCCAAGATCGCCAATGCACGGCGTAATATAAGCTTTGTTTTGATCAGCAGACCCAGTACACGTTGGACAGGCGCTTCTGCTGACATCTATTAGGTCGTGCGAGGGAACGAATGCTTCCAGGTCCTTCTTTGCGGATAGGAATATATTGGCGGGCTTCAGATCTCTATGAATCAGGCGTTTTGCGTGAAGATATTGGACTCCATTGAGAATAGCACCTAGTATTCGAATTGTGGGAAGTGTATGAAAGCAGTGACGGATAGGAAACTCGTGACCTGGCTGTGGTGTGTCTGTTGAGATATATTCCTCCAATGTAAGAGGATATACAGTAAATCGGATGTATAGAATCCGAGCTCTATTGTCCTGTGGAGTGATGGTATTGCCATTGTTGTTACTTTCATATTCTTCCTCTTCATCTTCGCTTTCCTCTGACGACTTCCCGCTGGATCTTGTCGCGGTTGCATTTGAAACATCAAAAACGACACCACCATCACCACTATTTGTGAGCACCTGGTCGCTGCTAGTTTTACCCCGTCTTCTGTTGTCTTTTTCAAGTTCTTTCTCCATGTCCAAACGCAAGTCATTCATGCCGAAAGTGGGGTCTTGCTGCATTCCAAGTTCATCTTCTGATTGTTCCACCTCACTCATAGACATTGAGAGATAGCTTGATTCATCCTCAGCATCCATCAAACGCCGTGTTGATGGAACAATTACATTTCCCATCTCAATCCAGCAGCCATAGTAGTTGACAATATTGGGGTGTTTGTGTTCAGCCAGTGCTTTCACCTCAGACAATAGCGCCGCTGTGTCAACCTTGCGTAGCTGGTCTGGTGTAATAATGACCTACGGGAAGTCAGCAAGAGAAGATTCTTCTTAGCAACTTGAATTAATCGAGATAGTCAATAAAATTGAGATTCTCAACACTCGAACAACGACAAATGCTAGGTTCAAGGAGCATGCGATATTCTCACTCACCTTCTTGATAGCGCATTCTAGGTCATCAACTCTGTGTTTCACTTTGTAAACTGCGCCAAATCCTCCTTTGCCTAGCAAGCTAATCTGCTCCCATTCTCTGTTGTAAATTGACCTATATTGAAAAGGATTTGCGGTCAAAGCAGCTGACGAGAAAGGGTTCTTGGGGATCATTGTAAGATTGAGATTTTGCGGCTGGTCGAAATAGGACATTCCGATCGACGAATTAGACGTTAGTGGAAGGATGGAGTTTTGGCTAAAGGTCGAAGTCTGTACACGCTGCAATGCACTTTGAGAGAGGATAGAATCGAATGTTGAGAGATAGCCCTCGCGTAGAGTTGCAAATTGCCGACCTGCAAGCTCGTCTGCTCTGGGAAGTACGCCTGACCTGCGAAGTTCACCCGCCATATCGCTAAAGAGCACTTGAGCTAAACGTTGGATATCTGGATGATTCTCTGGCAATTGATCATCGGGACCACGACCAGAGTTCAAGGTGGTCAAAGCTTGTGCTTTACATCTTGCCTCAATTAAGGAGAGGTAAAAAAGAGTGGATTGCTGGTTGTTTGACTGCCCAATTGGCAAGTGTACATCGCCAAATCTCGTCAGAGCTGTAGAAGGAGATTGGGGAGGAAGGTGTATATCCTCGGTGGATGAATCATATTGAGACTTTTCATCCGTTGTCTCCTCGTCACTAGAGAAGGTTCTTTTGTTGCCCGTAGTAGAAGACATGATATTCCTCTCCTATTTTGTCCTTGGACGACTTTCAATGTCGAACTGAGGTCTGAACATTGAATTGCTGATATATAAACAAACGAAGAAAATGGAGAAGAAGTGCAGTATAGAACCGGTACGAGAGTCAAGTATCTGTGTATGGTTTATGTCTTTCTTATTCTTATACGTGTCAAATTGACTTTTGATTGCGGTTTCTCCTTTATTGGTACCCTGTCAAGTGAAGGGCTCGAAGGATAGAGTGTAGGCTACAGGATATGAATATGCCCTGAGCTCTAGAACAGTCATCGAAGCTTCTGTCCAATTCTGGAGAGTTGCGCCCTGTAAAAGTGGGTCCATGGCTCAGATAAGACACGTGATACGGTCATCCAGAAAAATCAGATGAATCATGGCGGTGAAACGCGTCAATATCAGAATCACGATTTCCTTATCACAGGGAAGAGACGTCTCAGATATTCCATATTGAAAGAGAGCAATCAAACGACTATAGCTGATGTTAAATAAAAGTTGAGTTGCGGAAGATCTACGAGAACCGTCAAGCTAGTTAACTTTAACTCTTCCTCCCCAGTTCAGATATCACTGCCTTTTCTCTTTGCGGCAGTCTTGTTCGTGCGTTGTGACAGACGGAACGCATTGGGCTGCATCAAGTGATTTGTCTTTCATTTGAGGACCACCAGGACAGCGATCGAAGAACTTAAGACAGTGATCTAGTTGTTGGCCATTGAAGGCTCGACAAGGGTCTATCATCAAGAAAGCACTCGTGGTGAAGGTATTCCTTGACGATAGGGATTGCATTATCGTCTCATCTTACAACACTCTTCAGACGATTCCGCTACACCCAACTCAGTGTCTGCTGAAGCTTTGGTTTGGTCACTCAAAGTCTTTCTACCAGTAAAAAGTTTTCTGCGTCCAGGAAACGCCGCGCTGAGAGTTGATGGTGAGGGCACACGGACGACTTCATGACATCCCATCCACTGAACACTCTGATGTTGCTTGATGATATCAAAGAGCAATAATACCGACTATCGGGAATAGACAGAGCATTTCGTTCTATTGTTCTTCAGTCACGCCGCTGCACTCTGTACACAAGAATTACTTTCATTACGAAAACCACTTGAGCAGCTCGGTCATTTTTCCGGCTGAAGGTTCAAAGTTGAAAGTGATTGAAACACCCAGGAGGAATCAATTATTCACTTGTTGCTTGTCGAATTCTACCGAATACAAGCAGATTCCATTCCCGCCATGTTGTTGATGGCCTTACTACATTTTTGAACAAAGGACCAATTTATACAACAAGCCATTGTCGGTAATGAAATAATCGTATACCTAATATTATTCACGTTTACTTTGAATTTATTATCTTGTACAAAATCTCGGTCTTCCATTTGTCTTGTCTATTCACCGTAATCACCAACGGGCAGCACCTCTAGTTTCCAAGGCTTGCTCCCACGTCAAGTATTTGGATTCTCATCGAATCATGAGGACCCTTCCATGGAAGAAAAAGAATGGTTCGACTACACTAACTCTTCCAAAGAAAACCATTGCATCTGTCGGCAGATCTACAAAGCGCCCTCGTGTTGAAGCTTCTCCTTCTGACAGCGACTACAATTCCGACCATCCTCCCAAGCAGATCAAAGCCATAAACCATAGTTTGTACTCTTATAAGCAGTGCTCTGATTCTCTTTCTGATTTTGATCAAGGTCGTGAACCATCTACATCGCCTCCGCCAGAACCTCCAACTGAAAGGTTTGTTCGATTTGATAATCTATGCGTTTATGGCTAACCCGTTGGTAGTTTCATGGAGGAAGGTCGAGAGCATGATGATAAATATCGTATTGTTGAAGACGAATTTTTGACAGTTGCAAAGTCGTTCACTGTACATCTACACACAGCCGAATATAAAAGACTTGGGAAAATGGCCAAAACACGAAATGCTGATGCTATCAATTCGATTTCAAGGCCTGTGGTTGGTAGAATGCCAGATGCAACAAGGCGTAGAGCCGAAGAAGTTGAAAGGTCGAAAAATCAGCGAAACGTTCTAGAGAAATTAGTTGGCAAAAAGGAAGATGGCTTTTCTGGTGATAGTGACGAAGAAACTTTGCCCTTTGTCGGAACATCACTTTATGGTCTGATGACAAGTCCGAAGAAACGAGGTATATCACTCATGAAAATTTCTTCTCCAACCAAAACTACAAGAGCAGCTGCGGGATTTCGCAATCCCACTAAATTCAAAACTTCACAGCGCGCGTCCTCTCCGACTATCAAAAGTAAGACTCAAGCTGTGGATCTGGATCTAGATGCCACAGCGTCCGAAGACGATGATGATCTGGATGCACCTATTTCGGCTCCAAAATTCTCATTCTCTAGACCAATTGATGGGAAAGATGCTGTTGATACAAAGTCAGAAGCCAAATTACCGAAAATATCAACTACAGCAACTCCCAGTAAGCTACAAAGCTCGAGGACCCCTGTGACTCTTGAGGCCAATATTTATAAATCTGGCAAAGCTCCGATTGCTGATCCGTCCTCTCATTCATCTACCACTCAAGATAGGATAGCAAGACGAATTGCGCAGACGAAACTCAGAAGAAAACAGGAGGAGGAAGACAGAAAGAAACTCGACATCATACCGACATTCTTATGATTGATCAACAACTCTATGTTGAACTTATCATCACAATTTTACATCACATATGACTCACTGCCCTCGTTGAAAGCTTCATTTATGAACTTTTTATTAAATTGTTTATTACGATCATCGCAACTACAAGATATTTGTGCACATTATGATGCCTTGAAAGGCGTCTCGTATGGTGCTTCAGCTTGTGGTGTGATACGCGCGAGATGTCTGCGTGCTCCACCCGACCAATCAACAAGAGCGGTATGGGTCGCCACTCTGTTATCCCAAACAACTACAGTTTTTGGTGCCCACTTGACTCTTACGTGAAAGTCGGCACCTAGTGCAATGTGGTCATACAGGAAATTCTACAAAACGGTTAGATAATCGTCGATATATTGCAAACATTGGGGAGGACATTACCAATAGTACATCGCTTTCTTCTTGTTTCAACCCTACGATTTTTCGAGTGACTTGAAGACAGGTCAGTGATGAACACACTGAGTGGAGATCGCGTATACTTACATTGTTTGTTAACATACAACGCTTTTTCTCCAGTTACAGGATGCGTTCGGATAATAGGATGAACGTTCACGACAGGCTCCCTGCGAGCAATGCCATTCCTATAGCGAGAGGCGTTCACTTGCTCAATGCCTGAATGTGTCGCAGAAAGTCCATGTAGACGTTCTTTAAATGCATCACTAAGACGATTATATGCTTCGACACCATTAGCAAAGAGAGTATCCCCTCCGGTTTCTGGGACGTCAAGAACATATAAGAAAGTTGTTCCCGGTGGCTGCTTCTCATATGTGACATCAGAGTGCCATGCTACACTGTTTGTTCGAGTCTCGAAGAATTTATCAGCTGTTTTGTCACCAGCTGCTCTGTGTACTAGGTGAACCTCAGGATGATTCAGTGGGGCTCCTGACGTGGGATGGATATGAGGTCGTCCGAAATAACTGCCATAATTAACAGCGTCTGCGATCGGTAGATCTGCAAAGTCTTGATCTCTGAAAGCTACGACCTTTCTCTCTGCGACGAATCGAGCCAATTGGTCTTTGCCAGCATTGCTCAGCTTGCTTAATTGTACACCTTTGATTTCTGTGCCCATCGCGGGTGTCAGTTCAACTGCCTCAACGCCCGGTGCAAGTAGTTCTGGATATGTTGTATCGGCATCCAATCCATGGTCTCTGTGCTCAAAAGATTCAAGAGGTGGGTATGTAATATCGTCCCAGGTTGGAAGATAATGTGGATACTGATTCTGGGTATTAGAATCATTTCGATACTCGCAATGAACTATGGAGAAAACCTACTGACGCAGCAGCAAATTTGCCAAGACCTTTCTCTTCGGCTTCTTTATCGAACGACGTGGGAGCAAGCTCTTTATAGTTTCCAAGCTCATCGCGACTGAATCTATCAGTTACAGACTTCTTCAATTGAGTTGGAAGAACAACTGTTTCTGTTGCTGAAGGCGCCATTGTGTTTAAGATGGTTGTTATTGTAATATTTCAATTGTTGGATGTCCAAGTTTAACTCGGGAATTCTTAATCAAACGGGAATTTGAAGGACTTAAATACATCTGGGCATAACGCATGTTCGCAACTTCATTATAACTCATTCGCCAAACCTACCACATTCAACCCGCCTATTCTTGATAACGACATCACACGAGGTTCTTATTGGAGCTTGCTCCTCAATTACCACTCCGCAAGATCTAATCATAGATAACAATCAGATCGTAACACGCTCGGGACACCCAATACGCAAGCAAAGACAGATGACACGCAATTTGGTGTAGTTGATCGTTGAGATATTAGAGTGGTTATTGGTCAGTGAATGATGGTGCAATTGTGCTCAGCGATCACGAATGTTGTTTGGGAAATGTGATGACAGAGTGGATATATCGGGAATCCAGAGGTAGATAGTTACACTCATACTCGCCACTTATAGAAGCAATTTCTTTCTAAATCAAGACCAAAATTCCAGATATTTAGGGATCCCATCCCCAGACTTCTCCACTAACTACCCTACCCATGGGAGTCTTGATGCTACACGTGATTTACAGCTGATACAAGTCACGTGTCTTTTCCAAAGCAGCTCTCTGCTTATTTCAACAAGCACTGGTCAGATTTCAAACTTCAAAACTTGGAAACTTTGATTTGCAGGAAGACAGGCTTTTGAGTTGCCTTGGATCACTCATTATGGCTCATAATCCCAGTGAGCCTGACCTGAGTGCTGAGAAATCAATTGCCACTATGGTCGCTAAGACTATCCGTACTAATTCCAAGCCACCCTAGCGTGCCTAGCGGCGTCATTCTCTATCGTTTATCTTTGCGGGGCAACTTTTTTCTCTTTCATCAAAATCCCACCATCAAAAGAAAAAATACAAGAAAAAGCTCGCCATCATGTCTGGTATGGATGTTGACGACGCGCCGGTATCTATTGCTTCCCGATTTCAGGCACAAGAACCAAAAACTGGTGCTACGTAAGTTTCTTCTTCAGGAATTTTCTCCAAGTTCCTATCGCTGATAGTTTCGAAGTATTCTCTGCTGCAACTGTGGCGCTCCTATCGATGGAACGACTTCCGCCGGTGCTCTCTGCTATGATTGCGTAAAACTTACCGTCGATGTATCGCAAGGTATCCAAAGAGAAGCCACTGTACACTTCTGTCGAGATTGCGAAAGATGGTTACTCCCACCTCAAACCTGGATCCAAGCCTCCCTCGAATCTCGAGAACTCCTTGCCCTTTGCCTAAAGAAACTTAGAGGTTTACACAAAGTTCGAATTATCGATGCAAGTTTTATCTGGACGGAACCCCATTCTCGAAGAATCAAGGTCAAGCTTACTATACAAGATTCGGTATCTGAAGGTGTCGTTTTGCAACAGTCATTCGAGGTCGAATATGTGGTTGCCTATCAGCAATGTCCCGATTGTGCGAAATCTTATACCGCGAATACATGGAGAGCTTGTGTGCAAGTTAGACAAAAGGTTCCTCACAAGAGAACCTTTTTGTACCTCGAACAGTTGATCTTGAAGCATGGCGCACACAAGGATACTATCAACATCAAGGAAGTCAAGGATGGTTTAGATTTTTTCTTCGCAGCCCGAAATTCGGCGGAAAAGTTTGTCGATTTCTTGAACTCGGTTGCCCCTATTACAGCAAAGAAGTCTCAAGAACTTATCTCCATGGATATTCACACATCTACTAAATCCTACAAGTTCTCCTTTTCCGTCGAGTTGGTACCAATTTGTAAGGATGATTTGGTTGCGCTTCCAATCAAGTTAGCAAAGTCAGCTGGAAACATTTCCCCTCTTGGTCTTTGCTACCGAATTGGTAATTCTATCAATATCCTTGACCCACAATCTCTTCAGACTGCGGAAATCAGTTGCCCCATATACTGGCGTGCACCATTCAAACCTTTGGCTGATGTTCAGGAATTGGTGGAATTTATCATTATGGACATTGAGCCCTTGGGTCCTACAAAGGGACGATGGGCTCTTGCTGAGGCTACCGTTGCTCGTGCATCTGACCTCGGATCAAATGACAAAACCTTCTACACAAGAACACATCTCGGAAATGTTGTCCATCCCGGAGACTCTGTCATGGGATATATGATGACTGGTACTAATTTCAACAACCCCCAATACGACGCCCTCGAAGAATCAAATAACTACGCATCGAAAATCCCTGATGTGATGCTTGTCAAGAAATTGTACGCAAGAAAGAAGAAGTCCAAGAACAGGAACTGGCGTCTCAAGCGTATGGGTAAAGAAGAAGGAGAAGTCTTACCCAGGAAGCAAGATCAAGAAAAGATGGACAGAGATTATGAGATGTTCTTACAGGATGTTGAGGAAGATCCTGAGCTCAGACAGACACTTGCTTTGTACAAGGCTCAACAGGCACAGAAGGAAGCGGATGCTATGAGTGTGGCCGAGACGAGTGATGGTGAAGATGAGACACCAAAGATTGATATGAATGAGTTACTGGACGAGTTTGATGAACTCAACATGAATGACCAACAATGAGTTTAATGATTCTCTGATGGTATTTCTCTTATATCCTTGGGTGGCGTTGGTTGGAAACGGCGTTTGAATGTTGTTTGCACAACTTAAAATGGTTACGAGGTTGGGAGGCATGCAGGGGAAAAGAGCATCTGGCTAAGCTCGAGGTAGTAAAGTGGCTAGATTAAACTCTACATGCTAGTGCACCATCACTCAAGATTTATCTTCTGGATTGCTTAAAATGTATATGAATATCTAGCGAAATGCAAAATGAATATCCAGCAGGCTTCACCATTTCTCCAACTGACTGCTTCAAAAACCATCCTCTCTGAGCCAATATAGTAATTGTGAGTAAGCGTTATTAGTTTGATATAAATTTTATATATTGTCTTACGAATATTGTATGGCGATTGGATTGTAGGAGGTGAAGTAGTATCAAACTTTTGTCAATTTAAAAGCTATAATTGAATGTATAGAGATTCAATTTTAAATCTGAAGTATATCTAATTTAATATATTCAATTCGGGTTATTTCATTTTCAATTGGAAAAGTGAATTAGATATGCCTTTTAATCTAGTATACACCTGGCAATGGATTTAAATTTTTAAATTAGATGCAAAATATGACTTTGAATACAACAATTCAATTGGATGCAATATGAATGTAGTGCGGAAGCTCTAACCCCCCATCCCCTTTAAGGTAAGCGCTTCTCGGCACAAAAAACCGAATGCCGGATCCAAGCTACAAACAATGGAATATGGATGTTATTGAAAGATCATTAACTTTGATCAAATTCAGTTGCTGGCGATGTTCATTTCAATCGGTATGCTTTGCAATATAAGTCGAAGGTCTCCTCCCAGTTCAGATGAAGTTTCTCCTCCTCTTCAAACTTAAGTAAAATAAATCCTGTACCAAATTTTATCAAAGCATTCCAAGATGTATGGAGCACGCACATCTAGTCGACACTTCAGACCAAATCCTCGATATCCAAGAGACACACGCGCTCGACTTCGTAGGCCTCAATGGCATGGTAAGGGATATCGTGAAGGTGGAGATAAATTGTTCTTTCAATTACATCGATCCTGTTCTTATGGTCGTGGGTAAGTGCGGCAGGCTCAATCCAAAGACCACACCAAGGTTGTTACTGAGCCGCGTTCTATAGATTCAGTCGCTACTTTGAGTCGTATGAGACAGCAAACATGCATGATCTCCTCGGTGGTCTTGAGAGTAAGTAAACCTACCTATAATATAAGCAGGCTCTAAAGCAACTAAACACTGATCATAAATTCATATAGATGAAGTATCAAGGGATTACAAATTGCCGGAGAATTTACACTTCGAGTTTTTTCTTCGCAGAACACAGATCATAGGTGAAGATGCATTGGTCGGAAGCGTGTTTGATGGGGGAGAAACAGTGTATGCTAAGGCGTTTGACGACGAAGGCATTCAATTCGTCTTCTTTAGTGGACCTTTTGGCGACGTATGGCAAGCGAAGGAAAGAAGGGGTAGACGATGAGAGTCAATGTCGAGCTGGTGAGCTGAATGGAGTCGACCGTAACGAGATGGTGTTAGGGTGAGTCAGAGTCGAAATCCTAAAAATTTCAACTCGCAGTTTGTAATTTGTAAGTCGAGCAAGCTTTGAGTTTGTGTTCATTCATCCCAGCTGAGTTTGAACATCATGAAACCGACCAAAATTCTTGGTTAACAAAAACATACGGATCTCATGACATACCCCTCTTTCCCCCACCTCTTTTCGCTTCCTGAATAGACTACTGATTTGATCGATCCTTTAAATTCAATTGAAACACTCGCGTGGATTACGAAGTTGTAAATATTCTTGCCAGAAAATCAAGTACTTGTTCGCAGTTACCTCGTGACATTTCACCAATTATCTTGCTATCATCGTATCAACCGTCATGAGCACTTTCCATGTCAATATCAAAACTTAAATAGAAAATCTATTACCTCTAAAAACCAGATACAAGCAACTCTAAATTATTTCGGAACCATGAATCAAAAACACTCTCATCTACCAGGCCGGCATAACTTATAACCTACTCCTATCCAAAGAGAATCACGGATAATGGCCTCTGATTCCGCAATTTCAATCGGCTCTAGTCCACAAGATTCCAATGACTCTGATGCTACAAGTCCGTGATCTCAAATCTTAGTTCTCCAGGTTTCAACAGATCTGATACTACACTTTCCATGATCTCAGATCTTAGTCCTCCAGGTTTCAACGAGTCTGATATTGGACTTCCCAGGGTCTCAGAATTGCTTCGTTCAGATTCCGATAGGTCTGATTTTACACTTCCCGGGTTCTCAAACCCTCTGCCTTTCAATAACTTCAGTACTCAGCTTCAAAACTATCCCGATCCTTTGGTTCCCAATGACTTCAGACCTCCAGCCCCTTACAATTTTGGCCTCATGCTTTAGAATCACTCTGGTGTTACAGATCAAAGAAATCTTCGTCTTCCAATATCAGATGGACACACACTTGACCCTGGCCCGCTGATTCCCCCCAAACTGTTTCTCTCGCAACCATGCCTTCACTGCAGTCGTGATTTTCCTTCTGGTCCACCATGCAGTGGAGTCGAGCCTTGCTTTGAATGTGTCAAGTCAAACAAGTTCTGTTCTTTTCCAAGAAGTGCTTATTTAGCTGAACCAGGTTTGATTCTACATTCACCCCTTACAAATGTACTGGCTGCTGACAATCATATTAATCTGAAGATCTCCTCTATATTCCGGTGTATCTGCCTTATTACCAGTAAGTCAATTGCGCATCTTATCTGTGGTAAAAATCAACTAACGCGATTACGATCGATAGATCTTGGGAGTGCAGTAGAGATCCATCTGATAGACAAAAGGTCGTAATGGCAGTCAAGCGCATAAATACGACGGCGGAACTTATTAAAGAGTTATAGTGTAATCATCCTACATCACACCCTGTACCTGAGCACGAACTGACAGAGCAAGTAGCTGCAGCAGTAATTGCGATTCCATTGATCCCGGACTACATAATTTTCCGGTATTATCTCCAAGGCAGGGTGGTATGGGATAATGACTATTTGTTAGTAAGAGACCTGAAGCGGGGAAATGATGATTGTATCGAATTGCGTGCCTTCAATTTGGATGCAGGAAGTGAGTATCATGGATGTAAGGTAGGATGGTATCAGAAGAATGTATGAGAACGTGGGGAAAAGAAATATGTGTTGTTCTCTGCGCTATACAGTCAGCGATAATTTGGAGAATCAAGTAATTGTCCAGCGAAAGATTGAATACTCGCAACTTTCTTTACTCTCATTTCTCCTTATAAACTTACAAAGTAGGCTGTGCTGAGGTGGTTGATTCGAATTCAGCGGGAAAAGACCGGAAGACGAAACCTCGAGCTCGAGAGGCTGTTTAATTTAAAACTTTCAAAATCGATATAATGGATGTAACGAAAATCAGATCTCTCAAGTTGACTGCGCGATTGCGACTACTATATCGTGTCGTGTTACTGAAAACAACACGTGATTATCACGTTTATTTTTAACCGAGTCTTTCGTGTCTGAGTCTTTACATTCTCATAAATGACAAATAAAACAAATATCTATCTCGTAACCTTATAGTACGAGAGGAATATGTAGGGTTTATTTGACAAATCACTTATAAAGCAAAAAGATCGAGTATATTTCATCGATGTAACGAGAATATACAAGGTATGAACAATCTAAAACCACTGACGTCGTTGATTAGATTAACGATCTAAACAATATGACGTAGAGGTCTTTATCGATCGTGGTTCCCCGCGCTTAACATTTCGATATAAGAATTCCATGCTTTCAACATCCATTTTCTCTTTTCCATATTAGTTTCGAAAACTACAACACAATCAATCAAATTAGTTAATTCAATATGGCTCTTAGTCAAGCAGCAGCTCTCCTCGAGAAAGTCGTCGGTCATGATATCAATGCCGTCACCGAGCAAGATGTAACAAATCCAGCACGGGACCGTCAAAAGTATGCGGATCCAAGTGGCGAGACTATGAAAGCTCTATGTTGGATGGGGAAAAATACTGTCAAGATGCGTAAGTTTCTCCAATGAAGAGTATAATCATCACACATCTAATATCTCTCTTCAATGAACAGAAGAAGTACCAAAACCAAGAGTCGTTGAAGACAGAGATGTGATTCTAAAAGTTACCGGAAGTACTGTTTGTGGAAGCGATCTTCATTTACTTCATGGCTCGGTTATAGAGTTAGAGAAGGGAGATATTCTCGGTCATGAGTTTTGTGGTGAAGTTGAGTCTATGGGCCCAGCTGTAAAGGGGTTAAAGAAGGGTGATCGTGTGGTTGCCAGTTTCCAGATTGCTTGTGGCGATTGTTACTATTGCGAAAAGAAACAATCATCCCAATGTGAAAAGACGAATAGTAATACTATTGAAAATGGAATGGTATGTTCAGATCTTGATCGTTGGAAGGATATCAGGTGCTAACTTCAATAGTATGGAGGAAGAACAGCAGGAATGTTTGGCTACTCTCATTTCACTGGTGGATTTGCAGGTGGTCAAGCAGAATATGTTAGAGTTCCATTCGGGGATGTCAATCTTCTCAAGCTTCCATCAAATGTTCCAGATGAGAAGGGTCTCTTCTTGTCGGATGTCATCTGTACATCTTGGAACTGTGTTGTAGACACCGGAGTCGAAAAGGGAGACGTGGTTGCTATTTGGGGCGCTGGTAAGTATTTATTATCAACCAATCATTCAATCATTCTAACCATATCTAGGCCCAATTGGACAAATGTGTGCAGAATTTGCTTTCATGAACGGTGCATCACGAGTCATCATGATCGACAGCAACTGGAGATTAGACTTTGTCAAGTCTAAAATCCCCAAGGTCGAACTCCTCGATTATAGTAAACTTCCTCGGGGAACCTCTGTCACCTCCAAGCTAAAGGAGATGGTTCCACGAGGACCCGATGTCGCACTCGAGTGCGTAGCAGGCGAATATGCCAAAGGCTGGGCCCACTACTTCGAGATGATGCTCGGCATGGAAACAGACACATCCGAGATTGTCAACGAAATGATCACATCCGTTAAGAACTTCGGTCGATGTGGTATTACCGGCGTTTACGTCGGGTACACTAATCACTTCAACATTGGATCTTTGATGGAACGCGGTATCCGACTTATTGGCAATGGACAAGCTCCAGTACATATGTATTGGGAAAAACTTCTTGAAATGATTGAGAAGAATGAAATTGATCCTTTGCAAATGGTATCTCATCGGGTCTCATTGGATGAACTTGATGATGTCTACTATAAGTTCGAGAAGAAGGAAGATGGAATGCAGAAAGTTTTTGTGCAGACGAAGTTTTCTGCACCAGCTGCTCCGGGAAGTCCAAGTCTTACAACGTATAAGAAATGAGGAATGAATGGAATGTTTAATGAAGGTTGATAATGATGATGAAAACATGTATTTTTAGCAAAAAGCAATATATCAATATTTTATTACGAAACAAGGATTTTTTCATGGAGAGATCGCATCTTATATTGCGGGTAGTTGCTCGTCTCAATAAGTCATTGGACCATAATTCTTGGGTAAAATTGCTACGATTTCTACACATCCCGTGTAATTTTTCACTCCTCATGTCTTCCACCAGGCAGACCTCTGCGGGAAATAAATTGAACATGAACACCATAACTCCTCAGTCGTCAGCCATCTTAAATCATTTCACTTCCGCTCCCTCCCACTGCAATTTCAATTCCTTAGATTCTGCCTTGCTACTTTCATTTCGTTCCATCGTAAATCATCTCAAGTTCGTTCACATATGTGCATTTACCCCTTCATTTAGCCGAAAATATGTCTAACAAGTAGCCATCATAGTAACCAATGCCGCCTTCTCGGCACTTGTAACCGTAAGTTTATAGACAGATTTAACCTTGATCCACATTTTTGCATATGTGCACCAGTATGAAGCTATTGAACCAGTTAGTATACTTCCGTTCATCTATATCCCGCTTCTCTCTCCGCTTTTTTCTTCTATGTAGCTCCGAATCCATGCGCGTCTGATAAGACGACAACGGAAACAACCCCTCACACGAAAGGCCAAGACAAGAAAAGAACTTACTTAAAGAAGGCTTGAACTCCTCCGGTCCACGGTCTCCCTTACTCTCATTGACATTGTCGGTAACAGCCAACAATTGCGGGTTGACAAGGTCATTAGCAAAAGCCTGGCGTTGAGCAGTAGTCCACGCAGAAGCACCTGATTTCCAAGCGTTACTCAAGGGAACAAGATGGTCGATATCGAGATCGGAGGCGGCGGTCCAGGTTGCACCATCGTATGGAGAGACCCAGGTTCCCGATGTGGCAGCACACGCAGAATCAACGACGACATTTTTACCGTCGCGCTTCAAAACGGTCTCACGTGTATTGCAAGTGCCGGAGATAGTGTTCCACTAGAGGCGAGTGTGTTAGATTGGGTTTTGGGTAAATTGGGGGGGTATTTGAGTAGGCTGGAGAAGGTTGAGTAAAGAGAAAGAGGACGGTGAAATGCAAGGAATGAGATGAGGAGATTGAATGAACAGAGGAACATACAGTAGGGAACAAATCTCTCGCATAACCATCTTGACTTCCGGCCGCAGCCACAGTCAAACCAGCAAGCTCGGTATTAGCAGTAGCTGTGGTTGGTACTCCGGGTGGTGCGGGCACTGGAACTGGAGTTGCTTGGACGAGAAGTCCTGTTGCTAGAACAGTGAGGAAAAGACCTTTAAGCATGATGAGATGAAGTTTAACTGTGAGAGTATACTTGTACTATTGAATTGAGAAGAAGGATGAAGTTAAGAACATGAGATGGCAACACCAGTCTTTTATAACCAATTCATACTGATTAGAACAATGGGATATATCAAAATATCCCCATCTTAATTTCTGGGGCCGATTTCTGGGCACGGCGGCATGCGAACACTGTTGCTTTCACTCCGGAGTCTTTATCAAAAGGAAGCATTTATAATCAGCACTCACATGTTTATCATCTCCTCCACCCCATCCATATCACTTTTACCTTTTCCCAACCCCATTTTTCCTTTATCCTATCATACATAATCTCACCCACACGCCTGTGAACCATAATCTTTAAGATGGTGTTGAGCTTCCCAAAGAAGGCAATTGACCCCAATGACTCCATTTACTGCTTCTTGGCACACATAAGGCTTGGAGACCCTTTTTCGTGACAGTGGCATCGTCCTTTAGAGTTGAAGATAAAGTTGATAAGCATCAAATCATTTCGGCACATGGTCTTGGCTGCTTATATTTCATACCTTATATGGAAGGTGGGGAAGTGCTTGGCGTACGGACGCCGCCTAATGATTGCCGTGAACTTTCATGGAGAAGGTGCATTTATTTGATGGTGGTGGTGAATTGGAATATACTTGAAACGTACAAGAATTAATACACGAATGAAGTTGTCAATGAAAGATAGTAAGATGTATACTATTATACTTTCGCACTAACCCGCAACTCGAATTCGTCGATGCCTTCCCAGGGAAATGCCGAATCCAGCGTCTCCAATCTGCTTTGCTAAGTGACATCCAATTAATTCCTCAATCTTTCTTTATTGATAAAACCAATCTTCATCCTTTCTCTCTCTATTTTATCTACTTGAGTCATCCAGGAACTCTGATAGAGCCAGTCATTCGGAGGTAATCAACCAAGCCCTCAACTTGCCCAGCGAGATCTGGTCCCTTGAAATCGTTTGTAAAGTATATAGGGTGAAAACATCTCAAGCGGCGAAGGATCTCTATCATATCCTCCCTCTTTTGCCTGAGTTCTAACTCGTCTGGGCGTGTCATGATACTACCAAGGAATATTGGTTTTCCCAGACATGCGATTGTCCTATCAAACGTCCCCACGGCTGGCAGACCCAAAGTATTTCGCATAAAAGTCACCACTTTCTCAAGGTTTAGTATCTGTTCGTCTATATATTCTTCCAGGGACAACTTCTCAAAGTTTGGCGGCTTATCTATCAACGGCTTGATCTCCGATTGAAATGGAAGCACGCCATTCATTCCTATGAACCCTCCCATTCCACCATCTTGGTCCACTTGATAAATTAGAAACAAATGCATTGCTGCAGTAGCGCCATCTGCTAAACCACCTATGAAGACATTTCGTATACCTACAAGATCTGATTCTCTTTCGACAAGTTG